TTAAAATCTGGAACGATAAAAACAGCTACTTGTAGTCAGCAGTTGAGTACAGACTTCTGATAAGTGGAAAGAGGGAGCGCGCTGCAGGGGGAGAAATCAGACAAAGATCAGTCTGAGCCCAAGTTAGTTCTTCAAGCTAGTGCAGGAAACGAAAAGAAAGAAAGAAAGAAAGAAAGAAAGAAAGAAAGAAAGAAAGAAAGAAAGAAAGAAAGAGAAAGAAAAAAAAAAGGTCTATTAAAAAGAAGGAGAGCCGAGCGGTTACAATAGAGACTTTTTCCAAATTAAAACTACACAACTGCCACTTATTTGGTGCTTTGAAGAGAAAATGGCGCGTTGCTATGTACATCGTCTATAGATAAGAATGAGCATGCTCTGCGGTTATTGTACAGTGGAGTTATTTTCAGTACATACTGTAAATAAATGACTGCAGATTAAACATGACTTTTGTTTCAATATACTGTGCCACATATAACATTGTAATGTAGAAAATAACCATAAAAAAAAAATAATAAAGAGAGAAAAGTTAAATGACAGTTTTAACGGCATTTTTTCCCCACTCGTTTCACGCTGGTGCAACTTTCCAATCTTGACCCCCGATTTTTTGAAATTTCCTTTGATGCTTTTCCTTAAACAACCATATGATTAAAAAGTCGACCATCCTCCTGAGCTGAAATGCTTTAATAACCAGAGTCTAACATCCAGCCAGACCTATAGCAGTGCCGAGTGTGCTCAGCAGGTTTTTATACTTTGGCAGATATACAAAACAATGGCTAAAAGAGACTAAAATTAAATGATTACAGAAGCACATTCTCCCATTTCATGAAGAAGTGCTGACGGCTCTTGTGTGCAGTGGTCGTCTCCCAAACTAGACAGCTTGCTTGCTTTTTGTTCGACCATTTACAAAGCGAGTTGAAATTCAACCGTTGGCCCGGCTGAAGTCGTGGCATAAACACCAACTGATGTGTATGTGATATATGTTTTCGTAAAAGATCTTTGTAATAGAACTATACATTTGTTAGTCGATCGTGGTCAAAAGAAAACCACCAGCCAGTACCTGAATGATGGCTGGCACTGTGACAGAGGAGTCCAATAAACAAGTGAATATCTTTTCTCAACAGCGTTCTTAATCCAGAGGTTATCCCAGCTTATCATAACAGACTATTATTTATAGCAAAATATTATAAGTAGTAATTTGTATTTGTGTTGCAACCATATTCTAAGCATACTTTGCAAACCATGTTTTCCATAAAAAAAAGACAAAGCACGTTTTTAACTGTAGGCATTTACAAATTTGATGCTGCCTTCTTAAAATTCTTATATTGTCTATACATTATATTACATTATTCACAACATCTTTTGTGGTTTCTACCCATTGGGTAGGATATGTGCATAATATATTCAAGTTATATACAGCACCTTACAAACAAACATAAAGAAAGACAGACTACTGAAAAAAGCACCGTTGGAAGTGAGGCACAACGAAGGTGGGAGCTTTTTGAGTGCAAGTGGGTTCCTATGTCTGCTCCACACGCGGGTCACATTACTGCTTGGAATGGCTTCAGTTGCTTCTCTGGGAGCAACCGCTCCTGTCTGGCACAATGGCCGGTGAGCACGCTCGTAACCGCTGCGCTCGTAACCAGAACCCAGAGCTAAAAATGTTCAAGGTGGAGCTGCAAGTTTGGAAACAGGCACGCTGTTGATTCTGTGATCGCTAGATCGGTAGAGTTTCAAGCAGACTTGAAATGAATTTAAGGTTCAGGATCAGATTCAGTCAATGAAAATCTCAAGAACGCCCCTGAATGCCAAACATTGGACTGGACTCCTATCTGTCCACAACTTTACAAAAAGACAGAAACGATTGTTTTTGGCAGTCCTCGCGTACATCTGTATTATTTTGCCAGACAGGTGGTGACCCCCGCCGAGATAGAGCGCCTGCACAGATTCCGAGCAGCAGTCTGACTGAGGTGTGGTCTGCTCAAACATGAACATTAGGCACCTTATTTACTCACATAATAGTAACATGCAAACCTCCTTGTAGAAAACATAAAATTCATCTTTATATCCTCCATTTACAAGCTATGACTGCGCAGACAGAACAAGCTGAGAAAACAACAGAAAGAAAGAAGAAAAACTGGAGAGGAAATGCAAGTTTGAAGCAGGTCTGTACAGTCAAAGGCCAAAAGTGTTGGGACAATCTTTGCGGCGGCTGATGCACCTCAATTTTTCGGAAATGAAAATGTTTAAATACGGGTGTTGCTTTTCTCAATACTTGTGGGTTTGACTGCAGAGGGTCAGATTTCTCTCCTAGTTTTGGATGAATCGAGGGGCACAGGATGGACAGAGGGGCTGGGGGGTGGGGGGATGAGAAGCAGCAGTAGCAACAATAGTAGCAGTAGCAGCAGCAACAGCAATAGCAGCAGCGATGTAGTAACACACACATAACAGTAGAGCCAGATGGACACACACTGGGACACGTGCATACATTCAAACACACTGACGCTAACAGGATCAGAGGGCTTCTTGCTGACCAAACTGACCAAAACTTCCATCATCATGATGTCTGCAGAGTGCAAAATCAGAAATAAGATGTGAGTGCACAAGGAGGCGAGACATACAAACATACAGAAACATTTCCTGGTTCCTGATAGGGAATTCACCTCTGCTGCATTAGCGTTGTGTGACACCTTCAAACACTAAACATTAATGTCACTTCATCAGGCAACTTCATATACGGGCTGCGGCTGGGAGCAGCAGACGATCACCGAGTCTTGTAAACAGTGACAGACTTAATTCAGCATTAAAGGTGTCTGTGTTCTATTTCACACACATACGTATGTTTGTACTTGGTAAGAAGTCAAAATTGTACTTTAAATGTTAAGTTAACAGAAAGTGATAGAAGATGCTTAATCTGACATTTTACATTTTTCCTCTTGTCAACAAATCTCATGAAAAGATCCAAACCAACAATGTATAGATCCTACCAACAAGCACTGTGTGTGTGTGTGTGTGTGTGTGTATGTGTGTGTGTGTGTGTGTGTGTCTGTCTCAAAGCCTGATAGATTTCATTCCTCTGAGCCATAGAGCTCCATTGTTGTCCAAAAAAACCATCAGTGAGCCTCATTGTTGCACTGGGTGATGGGTTTCTTCATTACCATGAACACACTACGGCTTATTTGGACTCAGTCCCACATGCACCTTCCTGTTCCTGTAAAAGCCAACGAGAAAACTAGAATCCTCAGCTGAAAATGATCCCCAAACCATTTAATATTTTCTCTGGTTTGAGTTGTGTTTGATAAAAACTACAGTGCCCAGATGTGTTAGGAGTTTACTGCTTCACTTTTCTGTGAGCTGGATATTGGAAACACAGTTTGACAAAAAAAGGCCTCGTTAATACCTTTTTCTAAAGCTTACCATTGCCTATTAAATTTAGTTTGTCAACAGGTGACCTGGGCTGCAAGGTGGCGTAGCACTGTTGCCTCATAGCGAGAATGTCACCAGTTCACGTCCCGGTGGGGGCACCGGGATCTTTCTGCCTGGAGTTTGCATGTTCTCCCCATGCAGCGTGGGTTCTCTCCGGGTTCTCCAGCTTCCTCCCACACAGTCCAAAAACATGTTGAGGTTAACTGGTGATTCTAAATTGTCGGTAGGTGTAAAAGTGAGTGTGCTTGGTTGTCTGTCTCTAAGCGTAGCCCTGTGATAAGACTGGTGACCTGTCCAGGGTGTCCCCTGCCTTCACCCTAAGTCAGCTGGGATAGACTCCAGCCCCTCCGCGACCCTAGTGAGGATTAAGCGATGTATAGATAATGGATGGATGGATCATGTGACCTAAGCTCAAAGCTTTCATCATGTGATTACAAGTTGTACACGAGACAAAGATGGACTCTGGTGTCCAACCAGGTCTCGAAAAAGCAAGTAACGTCACCTTGAGTCACGATGCACCTGCTATTTTTCTGTCCATCTAAACTGTGTGTCTTTAACAGGAATGACTGGGCTCGGGGCTGACAGTGAGGAATGTCAGGATTGGAAAGTTTCATGGGATTTGTTGATGGAAAAATATTACATTGAAGGTCAAAAAGGTCCATTTATACTCCACTCCAACAACAAGCTTCTGTAGCATACATGCTAACATGCTGAGGCTCGTGTTCAGAGCCTGCTTTGTATCAGCATGCAGTATGGAGACTCTCTGTCAAAATACTGCATGACTGTCACCAATACAGCTGCCGTTTTCCTCATGTAGCTTTTAAAAGAACCTGTGGGGAGGACTGGACTGTGACATGCACTAACATTGAGCGTCTCCAGTGACGTCACCTCTGCACTGTGATAATGACCATCATGCATTTCTGGCTTTTTAAAGAGACACCCGACTAAATTTCAATGAAAGCTTAACTGATGTTGTGTTAATATGGACAGTCTCAAAAATGTCCTTGAATCTCTAAACTCAAAGCAGTCAGTTAATAAATCACTCAGCTACACACACACACACACACACACACACATGCACATACACAATACTCCTGCAGGAGCATTAAGTGCTTTTCTGTGTTGTTAAGAGGTCTGACCAACAAACACACACATACACACTTATACAGCGAGGAGAGGACTGCACTAGCACGCTGCCAAACGAGGGCTCCACTCCAGTCTCCACTTTAAAGGGCTTGGCGGACTCTGCATCATTTGATCGCACTTTTTCTGCACACGGATGGAAGGAGGGATGATGAACACAGTGCTTATCAAAGACACTGTTAGAAAGCAGGGTGTTGGGAGGAGGAGGAAGGGGGCACAGGCGCTGAATGCAAACAAGAAAGAGAGACAGAGAAAGCGCAAGAGCAGAGGAGAAGGCAACGATGAGCAGAGAAAAAGGCTAGATTTTCAAAAAGGTTTTGTTTCTTTTACAAAAAGGACCCTCCCATAGCCCTTTGACTTCGACCACAGACAGTTTTCATTTAAAACCTGATCGCTGTGCTGGCGGATGCAGACAGAAATCGTCACTTTGTGTCATCTTTTTTTTTTTTTTTTTTGTGGCTTTAGAGACGTGAAGACCGAGAGCTGAGCCTTCATTTTTTGTCGTTTTTTTTTTTTTGTTTGTTTGTTTTGTTTTGCTTTGTGTTTTCGTTGTCATGGCGGCAGGTGATCGAGTTCAGTGTGGCTGTTGGCAGAATGCACTGTGCATGTCGAGATGAGCAGTGATGGGGGGTGGGGTGGAGGGGTGGAGAGGGGTTGGATGAAGGAAACAGGAAAGAGGAAGTGTCAGGTGCTTAGATGTCGGGACAGATTTGAAAAGAGAAGAATCTGCTTTGACCAGGCTGCTTGGTGGACACTTCGATATGTTCTCTTGTTTGTTTTTGACTGTGGAGATTTGTTTTAATTTGTTTACTTGATATCCAACCATCTAGGCCAGATTTCCCACAAAACTAATTTTGAATCACGCTAGATCTTGCCAAGCAGAGTTTAGGAACTGCTCTGGTTTGGGGAAATCCACCTCGAAATCTTTGTAATAAAATACGAGAGGAAGTAAGACATTTTTGATCCACCCAGTGGCTGGTCACAAGGCAGATTTCTTCCCCCCACAAGGCTAAAGTGAACACAGACGTGAAGCAGTACAAGGTTATTCTCTTACTAAGTCTCACTGTGCCTGTGGTGTAAGCAGACAGAGATGTTGTAGGCTGGGTACGAGTATTTCTTGCGTTTTTCAAAAAAGGACATAAGCTTATAATACTTGTTTTGTTTTTTTGCTCCCAACTGTTTAAACAACTTTGGAGCCAAAGTTCAGTCAATCAGTCCATTCATGAAAAGGACAAAACAAAAAAAAAACCCCAAACAAACAAAAAAAAAACTAAACAAAACAAAAGGAAATTTTTAAAAAAAGAAAAGAAAAAAAAACAACATCATCATTATCATCATCACATAACATCATTTCCCTCTTCTCTTTTACAACAAAAAGATAGTGCAACTTTTAGATAACTTTTCTTTTTTGTGTTTTGAATGTTAGAACAAGTCTTTTTTTTCCCCCTTTATTTTGCTTCCTCGTGAACCTTGGCACTAAGATTTGGGTTTGTGAGTCTCTTGCTTTGTTGTGTTCTCTGTAAGTCCTTGATTCTCAGTTCTTGCTTTGTGCACAGATCCCGGTCCGAAAAATAAAACAAAAATGGAAAAACATCCTCCTCTTTTCCCGGGGACCGAGCTGTCACCCGAGGGGGCAGAAATGAGAGAATTGTTTCAATCTGTGCTAGCAGTGTGTTTCTTTCTCAAAATGAAGGAACAAAAAGTCTCCACGCAGTGCATACATCCTGCCCCAGCAGTTTGAATTATTAACGTCAGAAAGAAACTGAAATGAAATCAACTCTTGGTTTCTCTCTTCTTGTTTCGTTGTCGCTAAGGTTGATATTTATTTGTGCATGGGAGTGTGGAGAGAGGACATGAGAGACAGAGAGACCACTGCTTACAGGTGATCAGGGTGAACAAGAGAGACAGTTTTCAGTCTGGGTAGGTGGGCGCCACCCGCCCCTCCCCTGTTCTTCACACCAGGTCCTCTGGTTGGCCGTCCTTGGCCTTGGCAGGTACTATTGTGCTTTCTGATTGGCTCTGCTGCTGGATCGTCCTGCTCCCCGGCCCCCCCGGCCTCCCTACCCTCTGGTTATTGCTGTGCTGGTGTAGAAAGAACGCTGAGCCGGGGTAGTGGCCCATCACCTCGCTGTATGCCGGTGGGGGACCCTCCATGCGCCCATGGCTGCTGGAGTTGGCCGCACTGATGCCCGAGTTACTGCTAGGTGGCCTTGGCCCACCTCCCCCAACGCCTCCCCCTCCTCCCCCCACCCCTCCCAGGCCACCGCCTCCTCCCATGTCGATCAAGTCACTGTCGTAGATGGTCCGGTTGGGCGGTGCCCTCACCGACTCACGGTTGAGCTCCATCTGCTGCTCGGGGTCACGGAGTTGCAGGGTGCAGGGTCCCTGGTACGGCGGGGGCTCCTCGCCGTCTGACAGCGAGATGGTGGGCGGCAGGTCGATCTGGTGCTGCAGGTAGGGGTAGGTGGGCTGGAAGCGGCTGAAGCGGTCGCGCTGCATGAAGGAGGGAGCAGTGAAGCGATCCCTGGCCTGCGGAGCGTATAATACCTGAGAGAGACAGAGACAGGGAAGAGTAGACAGAGATAGAAAGAGGAAGAGGCAGGAAAAGTCAAGGGAAAGGGAGGAGCGGGAGAGAGGAAGAGGAGGGGGAAAGAAGGAGAAGATATGGGCAACAGGAAGGAAGGAAGGTGGAAAGAGGGAAAGAAGAGGAGAAAAAAAGGATGTCGGGTATGAGTTAGCGAGCATCAACAGGCAAAAATCAACATCATAATATTAACACACAAAAAAGTTTCTGATACTGATATATGACACAACACTGCAATTATGTGCAAAATGATGAAAAGTAATCAAACTGAGCTTCAGTGCAATAAACTTTTTTACTGTTTTATATACAAAACAAAAACTTCAAAACTAAATTTATTTGCTTTTAGTAAGAAAATTCTCCAAATTATCCATTTTGACTCGAGATGCTGAGATCATTTCATTGTCAATTACGCTTGAATTAAATACGGAAACTATGAATATCAACAAAAAAAGTACTGATTTCTTAGGAGCTGTAGGAGCATGTTTGTTGTGCTTATATTTACTGTGCATACTCTAGAAGAGACATTCTTCAACAATATACTCTGGAGGTGGGCTGTAATGCACACAAGCCAATCAGAGGGTAGAACCGGTACAGACATTTTCTGTACTATTCAACGGAAACAATAAATAAAAAAATGTAAATGTTGGGCAAGGCATGGAGTCGCATGACCCTCCCTGTGTAAGAAATACTATAATATACAAAATGATACAAAAGGTAAAAAGATTTATTTTAGTTAAGTCTCACACATTTAAACAATATAGAATATGCAGAGTGAAGTATTCTGAGTATGCAACATTTTTAAAGTTGTTGCTGCATTTTGCATCACCACCTGTCAAAATGCATTTTGATGCAGCGTAACTAAATTCAATGCAAACACTCCAATGAGCGCTGTCCCGTTACAGCAGCAACAGCATACACCAGTGTGTCAGCAATTAGCTCTTACATACACTAAAGTGTAATTACAGTAAAAGGAAGAAAAGATCCCCTGCTAAAGCAGAACAACATCCAACACAACGGTTCATCCACCAGCTTTTGTCAGAGATCTTCACCTCAATTAACTCTTCAGACTGTGACGGCATGATCCATTTCTACATTTCTCACATTTCTATCCAATTGCACACATTTTTACTGTGGCAAGTCATTATCAGAGGGAAACCATTTCAATTAGTGACTGTGGCTCTAATAGTCAACCCCCACTGACAAGGCAGTCTGGATGGAGAGAACAACAGACTGGGAAAAAACCTGGAGGGGGGGGTAGAGGATCAGGGCAATTGAAATGGAGAGACAGAGGAAGAGAAAGAGTGGAACTGAAAGGATTAAAAAGAAAGGCTACTGAGATAAGGAGAGAGAAAGAGAGCATGGAAAGGAGAAGGAGAAGAAAAAGCCATGGAGATAAAGAGAGCAAGGAGAGAAACAGAGAGCCTGAGACATAAAGGAAGAGAACAGAGAGAGAGAGAGAAAGTGTAGATAGACAGATAGACAGACGGAGGGGGAGAAAGGTGTGTTGCTGATAGAGGGAGCAGAGCGCAGCAGAGCAGGGCAGCTCTCAGACGGCTGTCTAGACAGTGTCAGGGGAGGTGTTGCTGATTAATGACGCACCAAAAACCATGCACACCCCCACCTCACCACACACACACACACACACACACACACACACACAGAGCCCCCATCCCTGCATCTATCAGCCACCCACACTCACTGGCTGCATCTCCCTCTGTGTTTGTGTCTCCATGGCCTTCTCCTCTTTTCCGGGTCTCTGTGGGTGCTTCAGTGCTGACACTGTTTTTACCTCCTTTCAGTCTTCTGAACCTCTTCTTCTCTCACTCCCTTAACATGCACCTTTCACTCATTCCTCTCTCCATCCAAACCTCATACATCTCTTTATTCTTCTCTGTTAGTTTTATTTGCACAAGAGGCTTTTAGCTGGCAGTACACTCCACATGAAAGCAAATCTGGTGTGTTTGTTTGCTTTACACAGAATGCCCTAGTATGTCCGACTGGACAGCCCAACATCTATGTAAAGAACTGCAACTTTACAGTGCTAGCATGTGATTGGTTTCGGTTTTGAGCGTTCTTTGAACTCCGTGTTCTCCCAAAGCGTCTCTTCCCACTGCGACTTGTAAGCTCCTCCATCTGTCATGGACACCATTAAATAAACAGATCACCGGTCACATTGAGTATACTGGCGTTTGTTTGCAGTTCTGTATTCACGAGTCTTTGAGAACATGCCAATTTCGACTTCGTTTGGAGTATTGTGCCAGCTGCACCCAGTGCAATAGCTCCAATTCCTGGATGATCAAATATTTACAAGCAACCAAAACGCAAATGTCAGGATCTTTGTGCCCCGTCTCTATTCCTGTAACCACAGAACAATTATAGAGGGTCGAGCCCTTATAAATAAGCCAACACAGAGAGAAAAAAAGAGGTGAGAGGAGACAGAGATGTCATTTATACCATAGCAAGTAAAACATGTAGAATAGACAAAAGAGATCTGAGGTGGTTCAGATCTTTTTTTGCTCTGTTTAATTCCTTTAACTTGCCTCATTACAGACTTGATTTTTTTCTACATTGCCTCTGAATGTTGAAGTGTTTAATGCATTTTAGTTACCACCCTGTGAAATTTTTGCATATTATATAGTTTGAGTAGCTTTTACAACACAGAAATAAGATCACAGAAACCAAATCAATAGTACTGTTGGATTGCTTTATGGCGCCAAGAGCTTGTTTTATGGAACAAAACATCTGAATGACGAACTTGTTTGGTGACGCCACACGGGACACAGAACAGAAACATGGACGAAATCTATGAAGTACTGGTAACACGGGGGATTATAAGTAGGGTTGTCCTTGACAGTCAATCAAACGTGAGTTGATGAGGGGGGGTGTTAGTTGACTGATTGGTTGGTCACAGGAAATAAATAGGGAAATAACAGATATTATTGTTTACACAGTTGGTCCCTGCAGTTATTGGATAGTAACTACATAATAATTACATATGTTGGGCAGGAAATCAGAAATGTGAGCTCATTATCGGTGGGTAAAAAACGCAGTCGCAAACTCAGGGTTTCATCAGAAATATAGTTAACTCTAGTGCTGGAACTGATCTGGTTGGGGCTCAAGGTGCACTATATGATCAGACTTATTAACAAACTCTTCGCTTGTTTTCAGACTCATTCAGAATCATTAGCCTGCTGTTTTTGCCAGCGTTACTGTGGCTCGCTTTGTACGTATGCTTGTAATCATACTTTAAAAAGCGTTATTAGATGTGGTTTTGTATTTATGTGTAATGTAGCATAGTGTCAATAATGTTAGCCTACTTATACACTCTCTGACACTCTCAAACAATGTCTGATGCCCCCAAAAAATATATTTACAAAATGAAATTAATATAACAAACTAGTTGACTTGGTTTCAATTAATGACTACTAGTCAGCCAAAGTCTTCCCCATATTGTCATTTGACAGTAGTACTCAGGGACAGTGAGCATCTTCAAAGATAAGACTTTTAGTAAACCAGTTAACGAAGCAGATCACAGGAGTGTCGGACAGGACTTTAAATACTGTCATGTATCCATCACCAGTTCTGCTAATAAACATGTCATTACTATTGAAACGGTATCCATGAGAACCACAGGAGAAAACTGTAACCTCAATTCTGAGTGTTAAATACTATGATGAGTCCAATTCAGCTGATCACACTGTGTTTGTTCTGGTAAAACATTAAAAAAAATTAGAAAGCACAAGTCAGAAAATATTGGCAAATATTATCATGACTGAGAATGTGTCAATTTATGTTGATTTAAGTTTTAGATTATATTGTCAAGCCCTACCCAACTTTTTACACAGTGCTTAAGTTGGATGAACAGAAAAAAAGCAAAATATTGGCCTGAATACTCGTGAGGCTTATATTGAGTGACCACTGTAAATTCAAATATTCTTTCTGAATGGAAAGAGTACCAAAATAGCATCAATGATGCTAGGCTAGCAAGTGTTTTCATGTCTGTTTATAGAGTCTTTCAGAGTTCATCAGCTCTAACAGTGTTTAGTTTAGCACTGTTTAATCTGCAGAAGTTTCCAAAGGCTCCTCTAACAGGAGGGAGAAATAAACTCATGACAAGCAAAAGTGCAGAGTGCCTCCTGCAGAAATGAAAGCAGGGGGAAATCATGTCAAACAGCCAAGAGTTGGGGCTGTTGCCAATGATAAGCTCAAACACATAGCCAGGAAAACAGTAGCTGTCGCAGAAAATGATTCAGCGAGAGCAATAAGCTTGCCGTCGTAATTCAGTTAGCTGGTTAGTGGCTACATGCTAGAAAATGACCCGTCTGCAGACTTGTGACTGCGCAGAAATGTTATTCAGTCCATGCAGCTGTAAATTTATCAAAGTGTATTTTTTGTAAGACACAGTCTTAGTGGCTGGATATACTGTATTGAGTGTAGTTACAGCCTGGCTCGGTCTGTGTCCTTCCTGCAAATGTATTAAAGGAACTGGATTCGGGCACAGCCATCTTTCATTCCAACATCCAGTTCTTATAGAACATCCATGACTTGTTTAACAGGGGTCAGTGTGGTGGTAGTCTTACCTCTGAGGCACCTTGTCGAGAACCACTGTCTGAAGGCCACAGACACCCATCCTACACATCGAGACAGACAAAACAAAGAATAAGGCTAAGATTTAGAGTGTTCCCAGATTGTTCTACACCTGTCTGAAGTGTGGGAAATGTTTATGTTTGAGTTTTAGAGGAATTTTTGTGCTGGAATGTGACTAACTTTCACTAATATGTTTGTGTATTTTGACCTTTAAACTGATCTTCTTGAACCTTTGACATGCATTTGATAATGTATCTAATGCATGTTAGATTTACAGCTGCTGCTAAACTTTTAGTGATGTACAACATTATTGCTGTGTTGTTTTCTATGTCTAAGATGGATTTTGATGTAGAACAATTAGGCTGATGAAACATTCTTTTTGCTTGAAAAAAGATGAGGAGAGTGAAAAAAAACACCCAAAAAGTAACAACTTAATGAGGACATGAAAGATGAAACAGCAGCGCAGGGAAACGCCTGGTGGCTTCAAACCCAAAATCCTGCCCTGTTTGGGAGTGAGGACAACAAAAGCCAGACGGCTCCTGTCTTAAAAATAGTCTGGATTAAAGCAACAACAAAGAAAAACAACTATCAAATAATTGCAGTTTCCCTTGGTCTACATTTGACTTGAGGATCTTTTCTCAGACTGCACAGTCTATAATATTTAGTCTAAAAAAAGAGACATGAAACGGAGGACAAACATGCATAAATCCTATTTATTTATGTGTCTTTTAGGGGCAAAGGCCACTGGCTAGTCTTACAAATTGCTCTATCTCTGCTACAGGGCTTTCTCTGCTTGTTGCTTTCTGATGTTGCATTTATGGCATTTTTTGCTTTGTGTCTGCTTCTCTTTGCATAATTTCTGCTTTGATTGGACAGTACTGAGTACAGAGAGTCGGGAGAAATAAAAAAAAAAAAAGAGAGAAGATGAGAGGTTACTAGCTAAATGTAAATAATCCGTAATGAAACAACCAAGCTGGAATCATTTCAGATGCTGGTCTCGAAGCTGAAGATAATTATGCATCATATTCTGTACCTGAGCCTATTTCCCTGGATGCAATTTTGCAATGTGCGTATAAGCAAGAGTGTGTGTGTGTGTGTGTGTGTGTGTTTGTCCCAGAGTGTCGACATGTCAGTATGGGGGCAGAGCCGCTGCTGTCTAGACGGCGCTGTAGTGAATTAAACATCAAGGCCTGACAGAGTCTGGCTCTGAAGAAACCAATTCAGCAAGTTCACCTAACAGACTGAAGCAAAGCTGTTACCTCAGTGAAACTGGGACAGAAACTCCGACTGGGATAAAAGGATTCATTTAGCTCAGCGCAGCTTTACTGGGAACATACTGGTAAGCTATGTTTGTCCTGCTTCAGAAATGCAGAAATGTACTGTCACAATGACTAGGCAGGGACATTCAGTGAGAACAGATGAACAGACACACACACGCACACACACACACACACACACAGCATTTCACTCGCTATCAGTTTAGATCAAAAATGTTACTGGCATGGGTGCTTGGAGAACAGCACTGGCAGAGCGACTAAGTACAACCCAATACAAACAGTCTCTTTTCGTCTCCTGCACACTTGCACACAGACACACACACAATGTTACTAACCTGCTGTAGGGCATGGTCGTGCCTGCGGGCCTGGCTCTGCCTTGTTATGAAGGACCAGGTGGAGAGCTTGTAGTGGTTTAGCAGGCAGATGATCACCACCACCATCACTGTCATCACCACGATGATGATGACGATCTGAACAAACTCCAGTTCAGCTGCACAAACACATGGAAGAAGAGAGGAGGATTAGCATCAAACGTTTATCAGGGATGGAGGTTCACATCGCTGAATGAACACAGTTTCAGAAAACCTAAGTTGTGTCATACAAAGGTTTGACATGAGATTAAAAGTACTGCCAACAGGCAATGGTTATTGTCATTATCGATTTATCTGTAAATTGCGATCTACATTACTCAATTATTCATTCTACTTACACAATTACAAAAATATTGCAAAAAAAAAAATTCTATCACTATATCAATATCCCAGAGCACAAGCTAACCCTTCCACAGAAAACAAGGAATAGCAGCAAATCTTCACTGATTATTTTAAGAAGCTAAAACTTGCTAACTTTGGCATATTTGCCTAAAACTGCATTGTCACTTTCACTACAGTATTCTTTTGAGTGTGGAGCTGACAGTGACAACAACAACAACTAAATACCTAGAAGCTTTGTAAACTTAGAATATACTGCAGAACAAAATACTGGATTGCTTTAGATTGCATGGGCATTCCTAATAATGTGCTTCGTGTGTGCATGTGTTTTCCTCCTCCGTCCTGTTCTCTTAATCTTAATGTGATAAGCTCAGAATCACATCAATCTCACAACCATAACCCAATCTAAGAGCCAACCTCTGATTACAGAATTCAGTCCTTCATCCTTGTGCAACAGAAGACATTAAGTCCTGTGAAAAAGCACAGCTCTAAACAATTACAGCACATACGAAAGCAACAAACGACAATTTCCATTAGCAATTAAGTTGCTGGTAACTTTCTCAATTAGCTGATTAATTTTGTCGACAAAATGTCACAAAATAGTGAACACACTGCATTCTAATTTCCCTGAACCAAATATAATGTCTTCAAATGTGGCCAACCAACTGTCGAAATCCCCAAAACATTCAATTCACATTCACACTGAAAAGACAAATCTAATATCAGAACAGTTGCTAAAACATTTTCTGTCATTCACTAAAATGAACAATGGCTGCATTCCATTTAGCTGCTTCAGTTTTAGGAACCCAGATTTCACACTGTTGCTGTTCTTGTGAAATCCTGAGAGCTTGTCAGTCATGGCTTACATAAACACAACACTGTTAATGTTATTATTAACACCTGTGCTTTTCCTACATGTTACATCTCGGCTAAGAAAAAGACCTATTGAACAAAGAAATATACAAACTCAGGAGCACTTTCTAAAGTCTATCTGCTGATGAAGACCATGTGATATGATTATCAGCTCCAGATCATCTAACAAATGGACCTTGTGATGGGAAAGTCAGTGTTCTGAAAGCTTTTACCGACTTTTAAGCATCCACAGAACCCCGAATTATGCTCTTCTCTGACTGTTCTAATATGTTTTCACCAGCAGGGGGCAGCACAAGTCAAACTCCAAGTCAGCCTGTCACACAGCCACAGTGAGTGTATGTGTGGCTTATACAGTACACGGATGCCTGTGTGTCTGCCTGAGTATCCTACAAAGGAAAGCTTCAAATCACAGAAAAAGATGAGTGTTGAGACAGGCGAGTCTGTCCCAGCATACACTGGCTGCTTTGTGGAGATGCTGAATGTGGTTTTGTCTCACACACACACACACACACACACACACACGCACACGCACACGCACACACACACACTGATGACCTCCAAGATCAGGGCACCACTGGGAGACACAATGATCGCTGCTTCACAGTCACGTCTGCCTCTTGTCTCTTGTTCATTGTTTCATTATTTTCATTTTCCTCCCACTCCCTCTCGTTAAACCCTGCCTGTATCTCCACTTGCCCCCCCATCGCTTTTATCCATCTTTCCTCTAACCCCATCCCTCCATCTTCATCTTACGCTCCCACAAGTCTCCTCTGGTTTTCTCCCAACTCTCCCTTCCTCTTTCATCAATCTCTTGTCTTACATTCATCCCTCACCCACCATCATTCTTTCCATGTTTCCTATTATTCATTGTCTCCCACTTCCAGAGTCTCTCCTGCTCTGCCTATCCCTGCTTGCCCGCTCTCTCTCTCCATCCCCTGCCTGCTTGCCTCCCTCTCTGCAGTCTGAGACTCCTTTGTTGTGTGTTGTCTGTTTGTTCTGAGCAGAAGTCTTGACCTTGTCTGGACTTGGCATCCAGGCTGACCTCTGACTCACACTCTTACTCACTGCTAGAAGTTCATTGCACTTTCTATGTGTGTGCATGTTTGTACAGTTTGTGTCCTTGTGTAGCTCTGTAAGAACAATGACGTGATGTATACTCAGCTATTTGAGCCACAATGCCACAGTTCTGGTGAACACTTTCTCTAGAAAACAATTTCTGGAGCACATTACACACAATCCATCTGGGCAGCTTTTGACACAGCAATGATGGGATCAGATAAATACAATAAAGTAGTTTGTGAAAACCTAAAACAAGAAGCAATGGATAAAATGTAATCATGACATAACTTGGGAATTCTTACTAAAAATGTGAAAACATGGTGGAAGAAGAAGAAGAAGACTAAAAATGAAAGCAGCCCAGTTAAACCCGACCTATCCCAGTCTTCAGTAATCCTCCCAGGCTTATTCGTCTGCATTAGAGTGGGTTATAGTCGAGCCTGAGCTGAAATGTAAACCCACCCAAACCTGCCTGTGCTGCACCACAGCAGCCACAGGGGACGGGTGGGGTAGGACTCCAAGGAACAAGGCCAACTTGCACAAACCACAGGGAAGGGAAGAAAAAAAAAAAAAACGCTGCGAAGGAACGAAACCTAAGCCAGTAAAACCAACCGACATTAACCACCAGAGAGTGGAGGAATGAGCCGCTTACTGGAAACCAACAACGACAGACACGCTTTACAACTTTACTTTAGTGAGAAGAAAAGTGACGAGTGAGGTGATGAAATGACTGAAACCAATCATATTAATACATTTACTAGAATAAGGAATCAAAAGGGACAAAAATACTTAACTATTCTTTAAAGCCAGTAAACTGGGGCACTCAGTCTCACAGTTCTGTCTAAAGGGAAACTATGGACTAACTAGCTTCTCACACCCTTTGTCACAATATGAGTCACCTACAGTATTGTGGAGCAGGTATGACTGCTGATAGTGACGGTAAAGAACAGAAACTGTGCTAAACGACCCCCTGGTAAAGTCATAAACATCACATTCAAGTGGAAAAAGTGAAGTAGCTACGACGGAGAGTGACTGTGACTGACAGAAAACCATCATAATCCCTTACACTTTTTTCTTTAGATCTGGTGAACCTCTGTCTTACTGGCTCCCAATGCTTTTGGCTTGTGAACCTTCATAGTCAAGCAGTGCCAAGCAGTACCCCTTGTCAGTCAGTCAGGGCCAGTGCACACAATATATCTATTGCTATAAAGCTGATTGCGATCTGCCTAGCTATACGAGTTGTCAAAAATTAAAAATAAACAAGTTTTCCAGACACAGATTGAGCCTATTCCTAGTCTAGAAACTTTTCAGTTTCAAAGACTTTTTCTTTTGATCTAAGGACTCCACCTCAGGTAGTGCTAGATGAAACATCAGGTGATCACCAATTAACTCCAGTTCACCCTGAGGGGACCATGAATGTCTGTGCCAAAATTCATCGCAAATCCATCCAACTGCTGTCAAGACACTTCAAAGTCATTAAGTTGTTGAGTCATTAGCATCTGTCTTCTGGGGACAAAGAAAGTATGTATAAAATTTCATGGCAATCCATCAAATAGTTGAGATATCTGAGTCTGGACCAAACCAACGCTGCCATCCATACACCCACACAGCTAGAACAGATATGAAGCAAATATATGAAAAAAAGTCTCACTCTCAAGGTGTCCCAGTCCCCAGGTTGGGTACATGCGACCTCTATGTAAAGAGAAAGGTGCTGGAAAGAAGTTTTGTTGCCAGGCTGCCTGTTTGATTGGGGAGCTTCAGCTACTACCAGCCTGGGCCTGTGTGCTCACCACAGTAGCCACAGGGAGGGGACTGAGGGAAGCTCTCATTCAGAGAACGGCATTCTGGGAAACCAAGTCAACCAGGTCCTTCTGTAAGCCGGCTGGATAAATGTCACATACTCTGCCTTCTTCTGTTGTAAAAGCCACACAAATCAGACTCAAAGCCGGCGTACTTCTTCTGAAGTACAGGCGGGGATGTTTTTACAGCACAAGTTAATGTTTTTACAGTTCAAGCAACAAAAAAAGTACAGCGGCTGCAGTTAATGGTCTCTCCTCTGAACGTCAGAGAGGAAGGAAGCCAGAGGAGGAGTTGAGAAGGGAGGAAGGAAGTGTGGGGAGGAGGAGGAGAAATTAAATAAGAGAGGGAAGAGGCAGGGACGAGGGGAGGCCTATCCTGCCTGAACCCCAGTATCCACCCTAGTTCAGAGGCTCCAGAACACAGTGTACAGCTCGGGCTCCCTCACGGGCCAGAGAACAGTGTGTGCTGGCAGTCTGCATTACCAGCACCAGTCTGATGTTATTACAACAGTAATCCACTTGTCAAAACAATATCAGCCCGGCGTCTGCAGCACCCTTATTCCTTCAGCAGGCTGAATCATTTGCATTGCAAGCCAGCCGTCCCGTCGTTTTTACTGCTGTGGTGAGGAGAGAGGCTGTCGAGTTTATTTAAATCACCTGAAAGTGACCATGTTATACTACAAGTCTTTGAGACATCTGTCTAGACTTTGGTTATGTTTGTTTAGTTCTATTTATTGGGTATACTTGTAAACAAAATTTCCAAGGTGCTCGTTTCACAGACCTTTTTCCACCCAAGTGAGCTATTTTTTATTTAACTGAGGACTGAACAATTGCTTCAGGCAGCAAATATAACAAAACTAATCTATATTCTACAAAATTGGACCCTCATCACTTCCAAATAGTACAATTATTAACTATGTGCAGCTTTACACATCCTCTTAGGACTTTCTTTGTTGAACTGCAGCCATTTTTATGACAAAGAAGTGAATCCTATACAGAAAATAAAATACTAATGTTGACATAGCTGCAACCAACAATTATTTTCA